GCTTGCACATCTGGAAAGGCATCATTAATGTAAAATAAATAGGCAGGTTTTAGAACAAAATATACTCCTATCTAGATTACATTTATTTTCAGGGAAGGTTTTGCAGATTTTAGCAAGACAGCACTGAGCCCATACTGCGTCCATTACAAAAGCATGGCTTCACAGCAGAAGAGTTCTGGTGCTGAACTGGCCTGCCTGCAGTCCAGACCTATCACCAATCAAAAATATTTGATGCATCATGACATAAAATAATCTATCAAAGAGCCACAACTATAGAACAATTCTCCATCAAACAAGAAGAGGACATGTCCCTCCGAACCCTCCAGCAGCTGGTCGTCTCAGTGCTATGACGTTCACACAGTGTCAGTAAAATAAGATGTTTACAGACAGAAGCATGACCCGGTTTTATTTTTTACATGTGTTTCTGCCATCAAATTAAAAATTACAGAAGTTTTACTAAATCTTTTTTTTTTTTGTATGTTTACTGTTTTATTGTGAATAAAATATGAATAACATTTTAAAAATCATGACATAATGAAGATTACTGGTTGATTAGTATTATTGGTACTTTATGTATTGATACCCGATAACTAAAATATGATATTTGTAGTTTGTTCTCACTCCTAACAGGTGTTGATGTGATCTATAACTGCAGTAATTCAACTTTTGAGCTCCAAACAAAACTTTTATTTTTATTTTTTGTGTTGACATGTCCTGTCCACGGTGTCTTCTGCCGCACCACTCACTCAGCTCAGTCTCATGATTTTAAATCTTAATTTTTCACCAGTGAGAGACTTATTCAGAGACTTTCCTGTAAAACAAGAAGAGTTTAAAACATGCTTCTAACAGTCCTTTACATGTTCTGTGAAACATGTCCACTCTCTTATTGTCTTATTGTCTCTTACATGTGATGGAAACAATGACTTCACTGCTGTGATTAATGGAGGTGAACCTCAACGTGCCCAACTGCAACCGACGCTCACATTCATTAAATTAATTATCATTAAATTAATGTTTATTTTCTGTATTGATTGATGCTAAAAATAAGAAAATTATTTCTGAACTCCAACAGACTCCATTATTTTTCTATTCTGCATGAAACTACAAAAATAAGTTAACTTTAGACACTTCAGCTACTTCTATATAAGATTTAATTTTTTCAAAGTACTGCACAATAAATAATACACTTAATACAAAATGTGTGGGCATTTTAGACACAGTGTTTGTTTAGATATTCTTTTAAAAAGCAAAGCTTGTTATCAAGTGAATGCATGTTGCATCCTGACATTGCACCCTTCTCAAAACTGACCACAAATCTGCATTCTTGGTATAATTACAAAACGTTGTGCAGTTTTAAACACGCCCCAAGTGTGGAAGCAGTGTCTGTTTTATTTTACAGGAACATCTGGTTCTTAAAGCAGCTGTTTTCTCATCAGTTGTTAGAAGTTCAGACATCAACAGAGCCCTAATTCTGCCTCTTAAAAAAAAAAATTCAGATCTTATGAAGTGGGGTTCTGTGGAAAGGCTATGATGAGTTAATATCTTACCTGTTGTAGATAGCACTTCAAGTTGGAGAAGAAGAGTTTCATTCTAACTGAACTGAGGAGCTAATGTCAAGTCAAGATAGGGTCAAGACCAAAGTGGACTGCTTCTGTCTTCAAACAATTCCAGTCTCCAAACTATCACAATTAGTCCTAGATTCAGATAATATTTCACTCCCGTTCATTTCAATGATTCACACAGAATCTTGTGGGTATTTTCATGCACAAATAGCAGCAGTAGCAGTTAGCTGTAGCCTTCCTTGTAAAAACTTTCAAATATCTGGGGACTGCCTTGAAAGGCAGCACCTATTATTATCCACCTAAAAAGGGTCTTGCTCTTCCTTCAACTTTAATGCGTCCTGAACCACAACGTGTACTCCCACAAATCTTATATCAAAGCAACCGGCTCAGCCCCGTGATGTGTGCTGTTACTTTGATTGGCATTGTGAGTTACCATGGCGACGTCATTTGCGAACAAAAACACAATTTTTCTCGTTGAAAAACGCTGGCAGAACTCCACAGCCTCTGACAGTGAGGTCACATGACCTAGAGTGGAGAGGTCTCTGAACACAACACTAACTTTAGGAGCCATTTTGGTTCAAGAAGGCTGCCACAGCTACCTCATAAAACTCAAAAATGACTTAAAGTCAGTCATTCTTTGAGATATTGAGCTGAAATTATGTATAATGGTAGCTGAGAGAGAACCCCAACAAATAGTACCGTCAGATCACGTGTCAGTCCTAGTCAAAGTTTCTCCAGGAAATTTCTAGTTTAACCATTTAATGCAATAGTTGTATGCAATGTAATGCAATAAATTTAATAGTTTCCATGAACTGATTTAAAGTTATGAAGACTGCAGTTGTTTTAAACGGGCAAAATCTGCTTAGGCTCTGGGTCCTGGTGAGCTATCTACAACAGGTAACATGTTAACTGTTCATCATCTTTTTGCTACCAAACTTGTAATCGTCTCAAATATCTTCCTGAAATGATGAAGCTGATCTCTATTGGAAGCAGGAGCCTGGGGTGAAATGAGGTTTCACCTTCCACTGACATCAGAGCTGTTGATGAGATGGAGACGCTCCTCGGAGAGCCATGATGAGCTCGAGTTTATTTCAGGGCGCCGACAGCACAGAGGGAGAAAGTGTTCAGAGGGTCTTTTTCTGAGAAATTAGAATAAAGAGGTCGGGAGGCTTGAGGGGAGCATCAAGTGGGTCTGTGGCTCAGTCATCTCGAGGGGATTCAAACATCTGGCCTCTCTTCCACTTAAAAACATCTGCAGAACAATTTTATCTGATGAATTGTGGTTTTAATGGCCTGCAAACTGGCCAAACATGCTATCTGAGCCTCACACACACACACACTGATCTTAACATTGCATGTACAGTGTGTAGGCTTTCAATGCAAACTATTTATAGTAGTATAAAAAAATATCTTAACATGAACCTTTCTGCAGAATGCTGTGAATAGCTGAAAGTAATTAAAGTTAGAGTTTTCTGTGCGAGAAGAGAAAATGAGGCGTGCTCAAGTTTGATTTTAGTCCAGACGTGAAGAAGCAGACTTTACCAGCCACTTGGGTAATCGTGTGCAACTTTTACCCCAAACTAATGTCAAACTGTCCTTTCGTGCCACGGCGTTTGAGCATAATGGAAATGACAGCGGTACACAAACAGCCCCCACTACTGTAGCCGAAGCTGCAGATCTGTCCTCAGAACAAAACCAAAAAAGAAACCTGACAGCTCTCTGACTTGGTGCGAGTCCAAAAACAAAACTACCTGCAGACAGACACTTCCCATCTGAGAATCAAGCTGCTGTTCATGGAAACATGAAGCAGCACCACCCCGTCCCTGCTGGCAGCCCCGTCTGGTTCTGTTTCCACACAGAGGAGCTCCGACCCATCAGGTCCTGGGGCAGGAACTGGTCCAACCACAACCAGTCACACGGCTCAGTGTTCACAGAAGGGGGTATGCTGCAGAAAATGTGGGAAAACTATAAAAAACTAGAATGTAGAGGGTAACAAACTGTGTTAAAGCTATATATATATATACATATATATATATATATATATATATATATATATATACATATATATATATATATATATATATAT